TCATAAATAAATTAAAATACGGAAACTAATAAGGTATATTAGATTTAATGAATTATTATTATTAATATTAGAAACTAATATAATAATTTTTCAAATTATTTAAAAATTCTGTCACTGATTCAAATATAGTAAGATTTCTACGGAATCCATTTTACGGAAATTCCGTGTGGAATTCCGTAAAAAATTTATATAAAAATTTATATAAGAATATTAGAAACTATAATTATTGGTAACATTTATTTTTATTTTACTGTCAAAATAACTGAAATTTGTAGTAACTACTAATTCAATTAGTGAATTTTGTCTATTTTCAAAGTTATTTATTTACTAATATACTTAGTAATTTTCCACTAATAATTAGTTTTTTTATTAATTGTTTAAGCCAAACGATGAGACACGATTTTACTAATAATTAGTTATTTTTAACTATAATTTAGATTTAGAGAGTATGAAATCAGTTTTTTAACACATTTAAATTCAAAGAGAACCAAAATTTAATCAATTCCATCAAATTTCCTTTTTTATTCCTCTTTTGATTTTTTTATTATTAGGAAATTTTTCTCAAAAAATATTCTCCTGTTCTCTATAAATTTAAATTATAAGAAAAAACTTTTTCTTTCAATTGATTAAACTATGAAATGTGTCGCTTATAAATTTAAAAGGGTAAAGTTTCGTACACATTATTATCATTATTATTATTATCATTATTATTATTATTATTATTATTATTATTATTATTATTATTATTATTATTATTATTATTATTATTATTATTATTATTATTATTATTATTATTATTATTATTATTATTATTATTATTATTATTATTATTATTATTATTATTATTATTATTATTATTATTATTATTATTATTATTATTATTATTATTATTATTATTATTATTATTATTATTGTTCTTTATTTTTCTTTACTATTATTTTTATGATTAATTATTTTTTTTATAAAAACTCACGATTTTTATTCTCATTATTATATTAGCAAATTTTGTTTCATAAAAATGTCACAGAATTATAATGGAATTTAAATATTCTCGATATAATTAATTAATTAGTTAGAATTTAACATTTTCAGAATGAGTAGGTAATAATGAATGTGGCGTTGTTTGCGTTTGTTTGAAATAAATCTCATTTCCTCTTTTTGCGTTATTTGTGATGTGCGAACTTTTAAGACTTTTGTCGACACGTCCAATTACAATGGAATTATCATCACTTTATCATTAATTTAAAATATTGCTCAAAAATTATATTTGAAATTTGCGTTAAAATGTAAATTTTTGATGAAAGAAAAAAAAACTGTTTTCACATAATGTTAAAACAAAATATTTTTTTTCTCCATACGAATAAGTTAATTCGTAAATTTATAAAATTCATATTATTATTTTTGTTAATAAAATATTTTAAGTGTTGTTTTTATTAAATTATTTATTTAATTAATTAACGGATTAATATTTATTTAATTATTTGTTTACGAGCATAAGAGTTCCATTCGTATACTTGAATCTATTTGTTAATTCACTTTGTTATTTAGAATTTTTATTCACGAACAGAATTTTTTTCCTGTGCTAATTACAATTTTTATTTTTAATATGTATAAGAAGTTATCAATCCTCCAAGTCAATCAATCTCCAAGTCAATTGATTGACTTGGAGGATTGATAACTTCTTATACATATTAATATAATTTCACCAAGTGATAAATTCAATAATATTAAATTTTTATTTTTGTATTTATTTTTGGTTTTCTTTTTTTATAATTTCAATTAAAGCAAATATTTGAAAAAATGTCTCACTATTCTTTGGGTTTAAAAAGCAATTTAAGATTAATGTTAATTTCAATTCTAAATTTTGAAAAAATTAGAATAATTTCTAAATTTAAATTTTATTTGTACAAAAATAAAATATAAAACTTTTATTTATCTAAAGAATAAAGGTAAGGGAAACAAAATAATAAATAATAGAAAAATAAAAGAGCGTAAAACGGTATAAAATATGAAAAGAGAGAAAAATAAAAAATGGAAAAATAAATGAAAAAATAATAAAATAAATAAATAAATAAATTTTCTAAATATATTTCTCTTTTCTCTCTCGCATCGACTAAACTATTCTTCTTAAACTTAAAAGATCAAAATTATACGTTAATCTTTAGTGAATAATTATTACTATGTGCTAATTGCTTAAAACTTTAATTAAACTTTTCAATGAATGACAATGTTTTATGTCAAATTAATAGAGTAAAATTGGACACCTTAATCCCTTTTACGCCTCCACTCGTTAATAATTCTTCCAGGTTCGGAAAAAAAAATTTCAATTTTCTTTACTCACAAATTACCACTTTGTCTTTCTATCGAGTACTTAATTTATTCTTGTCAGGATGAGGATTCTAATTTATTCCTTACATAAGAAAAAAAACTTGATTTATAAGAAAGCAAGAACATTTTTATTTGATTATTTTTAATAAAAGAAAAATAAAAAAAAATATAGGATCCCGTGGTCTTTACGAAAGGATTTTAAATTATTTATACACGTTTTAATAAATAATTAAAAATTGCACTGGTTTATGATGGTCTTTTTTTTAGTAGAAAAAAAAATGCAGTTTCAGTCATGCTTACTTAATAAAGTGATATGTCCAGGTGAATAAACGTCACGATAGTCGTAGATATGACGACAACGCACCTGGTCTCAACAAGAATTTTTCATTTTTGCAGTATTTTTTTTATATTTATTTTTATATTTATTTCAAAAATTAATTTCATTTTGAATTGACAGTCAGAGATAAAATTTAATATTATTTCTATTTTTATTAGTATTTATTTTATATTATTATATTATTTTGAAATAAATAAATAATTTATAGATTTATTAATATTTTATTATATATAATATTATAGTATTATTTATTTTATTTATTTATACATTATATATATTTATTTTTTAAATAAAATTATAAATTACAATTTGTGCACATCGTGTGACATAATAATTCAAATGGTCTTATAATTTTATACATTTTAATTATAATTGAAAAATTTCTTTTCAAATTAGAAAAAAAGTAATTAAATTTTTTATTTTAGTATAATATTATGAAATCCTACCGTGAATTTTTTATATTTTAATTTGTGTAGCGCATTAAAGTAAGAGAATTGTATAGTTCTTTTTAAAAAATTACGAATATAAAAAATTGTAAATAAAGAATTTTAATATTTTTTTTATTAATAATTAAAAACGGTCATTATTCCACTAAAACTTCTAATTTAATTAATAAACTTAGAAAACTTGAAAAGAACTTAAAAACAAATTTTAAATATTATGAATAAATATTATTATAATATACTCTCTAAATTTGAATCAGTCAAAATTCATAGTTTTCACTGACAATCAGTGACTGATTTTTTGCTTATGAATCAGTTGAAAATAACTGATTTTCAGTAAAAAAATAACTGAAAAATTAATGCAACTTGACTAATTAAATTAGTTAAAAAATCTACTAAAACATCAGTAAATTTTAACTAAATGTCAGTAGAAATATTACTACTTGAATTAATGACTGACTTTTTGCTTCTAAATCAGTTTTTTCAACCGATTCAAATTTAGAGAGTAAATAATACGATAGTAATTTTATTTTAAATTATTAAATTACATTTTTCAAATTAAAATTTTTTACAATAAATGATAAGTAAATTATATAAATCATAAAATTATAATTTACCACTGAGATGCATTTAAAAATTGTTGATAAATTTTTCAATTAATTTTCGAATAATTCAGTTGATTAGAACAAAGAAAAAACTATATAACTTCAGTTTTATGTGATGTAATGAAAATTATCTATTATTTAATATTCACTAATTTTTTTTTTTATTCATTTTATTCACTAAATTTTTTAATTTTCTTCACTAATTTTTCCATTTTTTTTAATCACTAAATTTTTATTTACCGTATTCACTAAAATTTTACATGTATTTTATTCACGAAATTTTATTAAATTATTACAATTTAAAAAAAAGTCCTATAAAATATATTCTAAAATATTATTACAATTATTTAATTGAAATCATTAAATAAAATAATAATAAAAATAATCATTAAATTCAATAATAATAATAAAAATAAAAATTAAAACAATTTTTTCAACCTTTTTTCAGTCTATATCAGAAAGTATAATAAACTTACAAAAAACTTTTTAAAAATTCTACTATATATATATATATATATATAAATGATTAAATATGACTTAAAATTTGATTTAAAATTAATCTAAAAGTAAAATTTGTTCTACTCTTGGATAAGAAAATTAAACTTTTCTTTCGATTTTATCATTTATAGATAAAAAAAATGTTTGTAAATTTTTCTCAATAAAATTAATAAAAAAATTTTTCAGAAGAAATTTTATTCTATTTATTTTCATGTACTGTTAAAATTGTTTAGTTTATAAAAATATATAATTAAATATTTAGTAATCGAAAAATAATAATACATTTTTGTTTTTTAATTTATAGATATATAAATTTTTAAAAACTTTTGTAAGTAAAATTACTATCATATATTCGTTTTATGTTTTTTTTCAAAAGAAAAACTTTATTTTTTGTGTGAAAACTTTTTAACTAATAAAATAAATAAGAAAAAAAAATTAGTAATAAAAAATAATTACAATAGCCACAGCAGTAATAGTAATAAAAATAATTATTTTTATTATAATTTCATTCATTCAAATTTATTCATAAATATTTTATTTATTTTATCCAATTATTTTAAAAGTATTCACGATAAAATTTATTTGCATTTTTTTTCCAAAAACAAAAAAGTTACAATAAAGAATTAATTTTCTATAAAAATACTGTAAGAAATAAAAGTTTTGAAAAATATTGACACTTAAATTTTTTGATTATTAAATAATTTTAATTAAATTTTTAAATGATATAAACTCACACAATTTAACGTTTTTTTATTTAAATAGAGAAAAGAAAACGAGGAGAATGCCAACCTGTTGTTTCTTGATGAAGAATTGAGTAACAGGAGAAAAGTGGTGTTTTCTTCTTAAAAAGTCTCTTTTTTTTTTAAAAAACAGAGACGAAATCACTGATATTTTTTCTCGTGGTAATTATAAGAAACGCGAATAATTATTTTTTTTAGATCGATATACGAATTTTGATTAAAATTTGTTCTATATATTACTTTTTTTTGGTATGTTCCCACAACGTGCTTCAAGTCTGCCGGTGGCGATACAGTGATGAGATACAAGCACCTATCAGCCCTTAAATACGTACCGTTCATGGGGCTGCCATGCGCGAACCACGGGGCGCCATAGGTTCTTTCTAGTAATGCATAATTGTCTGCTATTAACGTCACTCATTTTTGTTTTTTTCCCTTTTTTTTCTATTATTTTTTTCTTTCTTATTTTCAAATTTTCTTAATAAAGTTTAGCATATTTGGAAATTTCTGCGTGTCAAAACTTTTGCATGCTTCCCTGCGAAACGCCCTAGCGCATTTTAAGTAGCTGCCCCCCTCCCCCCACCCACTCTTAATCTATACAGAATAACACTTTCAATTCCTCTATATATAATATAAAGTAACAAAATTTTATGTAACATATTTGCTTTTTTCTTTTTTTTTGGGGGGAAAATATTTTATTTTCATAGTATAATATAATATTGTCCTAGTGACATGGAAACAAAATATTTCACAGTTTTGGGGTACATTGTTTCTAAAATGCAATTTCTAATTTTTTATTTTTTAAAACTTTCTTTTCTATAATAAAGGTTGAATAATTGAATTCTTATAAAGAATTTTAACAAAAAATTTTTAAATAACTGAATTCTTTCGATGAATTTTAATAAAATTTTAAAGAATAATTACATTTTTCGAGGAATTTCAGGTTTGCCAGAAGTCAGGGAAAAGTTTGGGAAAGTAGAATTGGTCAGGGAAGTCAGGGAAAAGTCAGGAATTTTTATTAAAAGTACTGGAAAAAATTAAATTTTTCGAATTCATAAGAAAATTCTGAATATTTGTGTTTTTTTTTGTTTGTCTTATAAACTATAAAATTACCAAGAAACCTTTAATTCTTTCTATTTCTGACAATAATTTCTAATTAAATAACTTAATTCATAAACAGATGAACTTCAAAAGGTATTAATTTGAAATTTTATAAAACTTCAATTTTGAATGAATTTAATTAGAAATTTTAAAGAACTAAGATTTTTGAAAAATTGGAATATTTCAAATTCTTCTGAAATTAGTTTAATTTTTTAAAATATCACGGTAAATCCTTAGGTGTTAAAATAACACCAAAATGGATTAAAATAACACTAAATTGGATTATTTTAATCCTTTTTGGTGTTATTTTAATACCTAACGATTTACCGTGATGTATCTAATTATAATTATTAAAAATAATGGATTTATATAGAAGAATTTTAGTTAAAAACATTTAAAAAATTTGCATTTTTAAGAAGTTACAAATGATTGTAAAAATTCAATTTATTATGTTCAAAAGTTTAAAAAAAATTCTCGTAAAAATTTCAATTATCTTCATAAATAATAAAATTCTTCTCCAAAAATTCAATTAGTTTCAAAAATCACAAAAGAATTCGTTGCAAGAATTCAAATATTTTTATAAATAACAAAAGTCGTTGTAAGAATTCAATTATTTTCATAAATAATAAAATTTTCCATAGGAATTCAATTATTTTTACAAATAATAAAATTCTTCTCAGAAATTCAATTATTTTTAAAAATTCGTTGCAATAATTCAATTACTTTTATAAATAATAAAATTTTTGTCCTACCTGCACGGAAAGTATGTCATTTCGGGCACTTAGAGCGGGCGCAAAGTGACTCATTCCAACGCAGGGGTAGGGGAAGCGGGCGGAAAATATTTTGCGCCCGCTTACCATCCTCCAAGCGGGCGCAAAATATTTTGCGCCCGCTTCTTCTACCTCCGAGCGGGCGCAAATTATTTTCCGCCCGCTTCTTTCGTTTTAACGGTCATAAAGTAAAGAAAATTTTGCGTTACTTTATTTTTTTCACGTAAAATAGCTAGTTTCGTATACATAATATGTAAAGTACGTATTTTACCCCCCTCTACTCAAAGATACATTGTGTATTAAACATTTTAAGTAAAAAATGCGAGATATTTTACTGTAAAAGGCCACGTAATTTAACTAAAGTATTTTATGTGTCCAACCCTGCTCAACAAACGATGATTCCGATTCCCTGTCTCATAAAGGTCTTTCTCCAATAGGATTCAAAAAGCGGCGTTGCGTTGATTTGCAGACGCAGTAACGTCGGGTTGCTATGGTTACCCATGCTAAAACCATACGTTAGTTACGCATCGCAGCGTATGAGTTTAGGATTCTATTGGAGAACGACCTTAATATCTGGTTCTATTCCCTCCGAAAAACAACGCCGTAGCGTAGCAGACGACTTAGTGTTAACGATATCAAGCACGTTTCTTTTTGTCATTGCTGAAAATTGTCAAAATTCGAAAAAGATGATGGATAATTCAAATGATTCGGATGAAAATGAAGATACTAATTTCCACACACCACCGGAAATTCGCGAACTTGTGAAAGAGGCTCAAAAAGATTTCCTGCCGTCAACTTCAAAGAATAAATATAACAGTGTCTACACAACATTCAAGACCTGGGCCAAATCAAAAAAGGTGACGACTATTACAGAAAATGTTATGTTAGCATATTTGATAGAATTATCTGAAAAGTATAAACCACCAACGGTATGGTCAACATACTCCATGTTAAAATCTACTCTAAAAAACAATGACAATGTTAACATTGCAAGCTTTATGAAAGTTACAAGTTTTCTGAAAAGAAACTCAGATGGTTACAAATCAAAAAAATCGAAGACGTTATCTCCCGAAAATGTTAACATGTTTCTGTCCGAAGCTCCGGATGACATATTTTTGGCTACAAAAGTAAGTAAAAATATATATATCTATAAAAAAGAAAATAAGATAGAAACAAAATAAAACAAAAATTTATATAATCAATAATTATATATAAAAAAAAGTTTAATAAAAATATGTATAATAATTAATAATGCGTGCAAAAATAATTTCATAACTGCACAACAAATCAACAAATTTATTAATTTAATAAATAAAGTTACACGTTAAATAAATAATTGATAAATATAATAATATAAAAATAAATACTTAAAAATAATCATTTCAAAAAAATCATGCATATCATTGTTAAAATCTATAAAATAAAATGCAAATATTTATTTATAAATAAGTACAATATATATTAAAAAGTATAACAATAACAAAAAAATTATAAATTAATTAATTAAATTTTATAAAGTTAAAAATCAATAATACATTAAAAAAATATTAATTAAAAATAATGATTGCTAAAAATGCATGCATATGATTGTAAAATATATAAAATAAAATAAATAACCTTCTATAAATAAATAAAATATATTAAGAAATGCTTTAATAATAAACAAATAAAACAAAAACTACCAATTATATAATAAAAGCTAATTAAAAATTGAAATATTTTTTAGGTTGCTTTAATTTTCGGCATAAGTGGTGCTTGCAGAAGGGAAGAATTATCAAAAATAAAAATGGAAGATGTTCTTCATGAAGGCAATCTGCTTTTAATAAAAATACCAAATACAAAAACCAAAACACCACGATCATTTACTGTGGAAGGAGAATTTCGAGAAATTGTGTCAAAGTACGAATCTCTAAGACCAAAAAATGCTAATTCGAATAAATTTTTCCTTAACTTTCAAAAAGGAAAGTGCACCACCCAAGTTATTGGGAAAAATAAATTCGGTAAAATGCCGAGTGAAATTGCCAAATATTTAGATCTCGAAAATCCTGAATTATATACCGGACATAGCTTTCGAAGGACATCTGCTACATTACTAGCCGATTCTGGTGCGGACATAATCGCTCTTAAACGTCTCGGAGGTTGGAAAACTTCAGCCGTAGCGGAAGGTAAAATTTCATTTTTATTTAAATTAAAATTTGTTTTTCTAGTATTTGACATTTTATTAAAATCCTCCCTATAACTTTTAACGAAACTTTGTTTTCCTATATTTAAAAATTGTTTAAAAATAACTAATTTATATAATAATAAATAAATAAAAATGAACTAATATTCTAAAAAATAAATATATTTCTAGGTTACATTGAAGAATCAACAACATACAAGAGAAAAATTGGAAATCAAATTGAAGCCTCAGTGAATTTAGCCTCATCAAGTGGTTCAAAGCAGATCAAGGAAATTCCATCGAATGAGTCAAATAATAAAAAATCAAATAAACGAAAAATTATCCACGAAATTGCATCAGATATTGACTCTATTTCAACTGCAGCTAGCTCATCAGGGCAAAACACATCAAACAAAGTTCGGAAAACCAATGACATTCATTATTCATCACAAATTAATAATTCTCAAGAATCAAACAATCAATCAATTACATATAACATATCGCACTGCACATTCAACATCTACAAATAAATAATTTGACATTCACACATCTGTATCTTTTGCTCATATTTTCATTATTTTTTATCTCGCCTCGTTAAGTTTTTGTTTCAAAAAACAACAAATATGTATAAAATTTAATTTTTTCTTAACGAAAGTTTATGAATTTTGTTAAACTACAAAACATACCATTCAATGTGTGACATTTAAGTATTGTTTAAAATATTTTCAAAATAAAAATTTTGGTTCAATTTAAGATGTATTTAAAATATTCTTAAAAAACATATAGCCCCATGCTTGTTTCCTTTAAATCTCTTTTTTAACTTTTTATATACAGTTTGTGTCTAAAATGAAATGCTTTTTGTCCAGGTAGGACAAGAAAGTTTGTTCACACCTCGGACGCAAAAAATAATTGAAGCGAGGGCAAGATTAGGTAAATCGAAAAAATCATTAAAAAGAATTCACTGCTCGTGCCCTCAATGACATACTTTCCATGCAGTTAGGACAAAAAATTATGTTAGCATCATGGGCGCAAAGGTGATTACGACTCTGGCGAAATTTCGGGACCTCGGGACACAATTTCGCTCCCTCGGCTTCGCCTCGGGCGCGAAATTGTGTCCCCTCGGTCCCTTCATTTCGCCATCGTCGCAATCACCTGTTTTGCGCCCTTGATACGAAAATAACTATTTCGCAGGAATTCAATTATTTTTATAAATAATAAAATTTTTTTCAAAACATTCAATTATTTTCAAAAATTACAAAAAAATTTGTTACAAGAATTCAAATATTTTTAAAAATAACAAAATTTGTTGTAAGAATTCAATTATGTTCATAAATAATAAAATTCTTCTCCAAAATTCAATTATTTTCAAAAATCACAAAAAAATTCGTTGCAAGAATTCAAATATTTTTTATAAATAACAAAATTCGTTGTAAGACATCAATTATTTTCATAAATAATAAAATTTTTGCAGGAATTCAATTATTTTTACAAATAATAAAATTCTTCTCAG